TCAGCAGGAGGAACCAGCGCTAGTTGGAGTCTCACAGGGGATGAATCTTGAGATGGGAAAGCAAGATAGACCTGAAATAACTTGTTCTTGGGAAGCAGTAACGTCTGCAGCAATACCTGGGATAGTGTTAAAGGGGAAACAGAAGCCCACTCACTAAGTTAGACTCCTACCCTCCTCCTGAAGAGGGCCAGGTAAATATCAGGAACAGTGAAAGCAGCCAATAGAAACAAACCAGATAGGTGAGGGGTGGGACCTAACTCCCTGGTGGTATCAGAAGAGGAGAATTTAAGGCAAAATGTTAAAAATTAATTTTAACATAAAACAAGGGAAATAATAATAATATATGTTGAACTTTTAAAACAATTTTAAGATATTTTGGGATGACAGAATCAACATTCTTTTTTCTACATTAAGTTTATCTTTGTTTATATAAAACAAGTGAATAAACAAATAAAAGGAAAACCATATAAAAATACTGAAAGTGAACTTGGAGTATAGCAAACTTCCCAGGTATTCTGGGAATCTGATATTTCTAAGGCTAATGTCCCAAATCCCCCAGAATTAGACTGTGAAAACCCCCGCTTGTGCTTCCAGATTGTTAAGGGGCCGTAAACGTTTGTTTGCTCTCAGTGCACATACTCAAGATTTCCAGCATTTGAATCGGTGTGTACATCACTCTAAAGAATTTGGCCATGAACCAATTATCCACTTCGCTGCTCTACAGAAATATTACATTGGTTTTAAAACTCCCACCTTAGTTGACGGTCTTTGGTGAGAGGTTGCTTGCACGTAGCATTCATGGTCACGTAATCAGTGCGCGTTTTCTTTTTCTTCAGGTTGTCCTCTGAAGACGGAGAAGAAGCGTCTGCTTATTTCTACGAAAGTGACGACTCTCTTGAAACCAGAGCACAGGCCCCTTCCTCGGGTGAGATGGACCTGCTGGGCGAGATCCTGGACACGCTGAGCACGCACAGCCAGGACCAGGGGAAGCTGGCGGCGGCCAGGAGCCTGGACTTCTTTAGGTCGATGGACGACATTGATTACAAGCCCACGGTGAGTCGATTTTCCAACTGATAAAATTAAATGAACAGTTTCTCGCACTCACTGTGATGGCTTTTGTCATCACCTTAGTTGGTAGGAGCGTTTGACCTCAGATAAGTGTCAGAAAACTCCAAAAGTACTGTAAGAGTTAATCATTAAGAATTATTTCTAGTAGGGCTTCCGTGGTGGCTCAGTGGTTGAGAGTCCGCCTGCCGATGCAGGGGACACGGGTTCGTGCCCCAGTCCGGGAGGATCCCACATGCCGCGGAGCGGCTGGGCCCGTGAGCCATGGCCGCCGAGTCTGCGCATCCGGAGCCTGTGCTCCGCAACGGGAGAGGCCACAGCAGTGAGAGGCCTGCGTGCCGCAAAAAAATAAAAACCAAAAACAAAAAAAACAAAAAAAAAAACAAAAGAATTATTTCTAGTAACAAAATTCCAGCATTTTCCCTTTTATTTATGCAATCCTGGTGGTTATTGCCATTAATTGAAATTATTTTGTCAAGCAGTAGTATTTTCCTACAGCCTAATTTTATAGTTGTCTTTTCCGGGGAACTTTTCAACGTGAAATGTTCCCACTTTTCTTCTGTATTTTCTGGATGTTCAAAAAAATTTTAATAAATGTATTAATTCAAGTAATGTTTCATTGTATTACTTTAGAAATAATACTTTAAACAGATTGAACTGGCTGCTTTAAGAACACAAGATGGTAATAAATTCCAGGACTTGGCACTGATTATATAATATAGTTTGTCTGCTTGTTCTTTGTGTTATTTTGAAGGATTGTTTTGCAAATCCTTTTTATTTTTCAGCTTTTTTGTAGTATAATGACAAATAAAAGTTGTATACATCTAAGGTGTACAACTTGATGTTTTGAAATGCTGACTACAGACGAGCTAATTAACATATCCCTTATCTCACTCAGTTACCTTTTCTTTGCGGTGAGAGCACTTGAGATCTACCTTCTTAGCAAAGAACTGTGGTCACCGAGCTGTACATTAGGTCCCAGCACTTTTCCCACCTGCACAACTGAAACCTGCCCCTCCAGCATCTCCCCGTTTCCCCACCCTCCATCCCCCTCTGGTGACCCCCTTTCTACTCTCGACATCTGAGTTTGACTATTTTAGGTTCCACATATAAGTGACATCATGCGGTATTTGTGTTTCTCTGACTGGCTTATTTCACTTACCATAATGCCCCCAAGTTCGTCCATGTTGTCACGAATGGCAGGATTTCCTCGTTTTTAAAAGCTGAGTAACATTCCATGATGTCTACGTACCACATTTTCTTTACCTGTTCATCCATCAGTGACATGTAGGTTGTTTCCATAGCTTCACTGTTGTTGTAAATAATGCTACCGTGAACATGGGGGTACAGCTGAATTGTCAAGATACTGATTTTATCTTCTTTGGATACATACCCGGAAGTAGGTGTATTATATGTTGCTGGATTGTATGGTAGTTCTGTTTTTAGTTTTTTGAGGACCCTCCACACTGACTTCCACAGTGGCTGCACCAGTTTACACTCCCACCTGCAGTGTGCGAGGGCTCCTTTTTCTCCACACCCTCGCCAACACTTAGGGTCTGGTTTGAGTTTTATAGGTGATTGATAGGTGCAAGGGCCTGGGCACCCATATCCATCTCACTTCATTCCTGTTGAGGGCGCCCTGAGAGGTGTTCAGAGCTAACTGTCGATGCTTCATTTCCTCTGGGAGGGACTTTGAGTTCCCAGCCTTGAAAGATACTGATTTCAAAATGGAAAACAGTATTGCCGAAGTACCATTTTCTCTAAATGCGGTGTTTCTTCTCTCAGAATAAATCCAACACGCCCAGTGAGAACAACCTGGCCCTGCTTTGCGGTGGTCCTGGTGACCAGGCCGAGTGGCACCTGGGGCAGGATGACAGTGCCCTCCACGGCAGGCAGCTCCCGCCCTCGCCCAGGAAGCGGGTGGCCTCCAGCGCAGGGACGGACTCTCTGTCCATCCTCAAGGAGGAGAAAGGTGAGCGACCCCTCAGCGTTGGTGCCGCAAGCAGGCCCGCGGAGCTGGGAGGGCCGGCCCCCCTTCCAGGACTGGGTTTGCCGCTGGCTTTGCCCGGAGCTTCCCAAACAGAGGAGAAAGAAACACTAAGCCAGACTCCGGGTGGTCCGCTGGTACCCAGCCTTGGGCGCCGTCCGTCTTTTGTTCCTTGGGAGAAAGAAGGGAAAGGAGCCAAAGAGACTTCAGAAGGTTCTGGACTGCTTCAAGAGGTGGTGTCGTTATGCCACGTAACATCTGCCTTCCAGCAAGGCTTAAACATCTCAGAAGGAAAAGCAAATGGAAACCAAGCTTAAATCAACAAATGAAGAGTCCGTCACTTGCATCCAAGCTTCTACGGAGACATTTTAGGAGTCCCTGCACCCTATCATAAACAAGGATTGGTAGAAAAGACGACTCTTACTACCAGCTAAACATTGTTTTTCATTTGGGACATTTCTCTCGCGCGTCTGTCTCGTGGTATAGATTTATCCACTGATTTTTAAATGTAAAGCTAACTCTTCTACTGTGCTCTTAAATCAGGTACTAGCTTGTATGTATGTTGAAAGTATATATTGAACATATGATTTCCCAGTATTTGGTGCTTAACGCCACTTATTTTATTTAAACGAAGTATGCATCTAACCCTTGCACATAACCAGTAGCTACTGTACTAACCTGGTTGAGCATGGACTGGCCAAGATACCAAAACCTATCAGAGCTAGCCTGAAACTGTTGACCAACTAATTGCCTTAATCTTAAGCCTATATTAAGCATACTTACATAATTTATGGAATTACAGGTAAATTTTGAAAGATAAGTTATAAGTGTTCTGCAGAGCAATAATGCCTTTTTCTATTCATCAAGTCAAGGGCAAAATTCATTTTTTCAAAGTTAAAAAGCTCTCTTCTGGACACTGCAGCCATGTTTTCCAAAAAGTATAAAGGTTCGCATTTACCTTACATGTCACTCAGTGAAATATATGAAGTGCTGAATTACAATGTGAAAGTAATGACTTCTGTTTACAAATGACACTTTAAGTTTTTTCACAGTCTTATGACTTTGCTAAAGTAGGAGTCACCCCTAGGAAGCCAAATGTGACATAAACTGTCCTGATAAAAAAGTGTTCCTATCTGTTTTTCCCTTAACTAATAATTCTCTACCAGAATGCTTCATATCATCTCAGATGGACTTCTTAAAAAATTGACTTTATATTTTGGAAGTTTCAAATTTATAGAAACCGTTTGGAGAAAGTACAGTGTCCCCATGTCTCCCTACTCAGTTTCCGCTGTTTTCCATATCCTGTGATGTCAGTGCGGTACGTCTTCACAATTCATGAACCATGCTCCATGCACGTGTCCTTAGTTTTTCCCTACCAGCCTTCTTCTGTCCCAGAATCCCACCCAGGGACATCACACTTGGCTGCCACAGCTCCGTAGGCTCCTCTTGGCTGTGACCCTCTCTCAGACTTTGCTGGTTTTTGACGACCTTGACAGTTTTCAAGAGGACTGGGCAGATATAGATATGCTGTAGGATGCCCCTTTCCTGGAACTTTTCTGGTGTTTTTCTCATGATTGATTGATTGTAATGGGACCGTGGGTTTTGGGGAGGGGGTTACAGAAGAAAAGTGCCGTCTTCATCATTACATCTTGTCAAGGGTCCGTGCTGTGCACATGATTTGTGAATGTTGACGTTGGCCTTGGTCACAGGCTGAGGTGGCGTTTGTGGGGTTCCTCCCCTGTAAAGCCCTTCCTTCCCCTGCCGCTCCTACTGCCGTCTTCAGGAGGAAGTCGCTGTGCGCCGCCCACACTGAAGCTTGGGGCTCGTGCGTCCTCTCCGTGAGGGCACGGAATCCACATAACTTACTTGGAATTCTTCTACATGGGACATCGTCTCCTCTCTCTCAGATTCACTGTCACGCTTTGAAGTTCACCTGAGAAGGAATCGTGCATTGACTGCTTGATGATTGGCTAGATTGACAGGAATAAGCAGGAAGAAAACCCAGTGATGCTATGGTTCATTTGCTGTATGTTCAATATATATATACTCTATACATCCCCACTCATGATTTTTTTTTACATTATCATTTTAGGAAAGGTATTTGAGAACCCATTCAAGAACCCTCATCAAGACTGTGCTCTAAAATATTTAGTGAAATCATAATTTAATTTTCAGTTAAAATCCTGGAAGGGGGTTTGTTAAAAACATTGCTTAAAATATTCATTCAGGTCAGTCTTTAAATAATTTAAAGAAAATGACCAAGTTTTGCTTTTTGAAAGTGCATTCCAAAATCTCAATGGATATATTTTGGGGGGACAGATATTCATTCATGTTTATGAAGGAAGACAGACCTTGTTTTCCATATAAGGATAGACTCTGTATGTATTAAGGAAAAGGGTGTTTAATCCTTTTTTAAATTTAATCCTTTTTTTTTTTTAACACAAAAGTAAGATTCAAGGTTCCTGTCAAATTTTGCTTTTATATACTCATTACAAAATTCCATTTTATTTAATTGAAAGATATAAAAAAGAAGTCCATTTATCAGAAGAGCTATTTTAAATAAGAAGGAAAAACTGTCACTGTGGTCAATCTGCTGGGCAAATATTCTTCATAATTTTTGAAAAGAATGTAAAGCAGCCCTTTAATGTGAATATTGGAATGAGGTATTTTTCCTTCAGAATTCACTGTCTGGAGAATGGGATCATTGTGAGTGTAGCAATAGGCACAATTTGGGTTTTGATCCATTTGCTTGATAAGTTTCACGGCCTCAGAAACTTGAGTTCTTTTCTGTCTTTTGGTCCCCTCACCAGATGTCTGACTGCACTGCTGTGTGTGGTGAGGGTATTCATCCACTGACAAGTCACATTTGTGTCAAGATATTTTGAACTGAATTTGTGCCTTATTTTAACATACAAAATCAGCTCTTATATTCCATGTTAAAAACAAAAGCAAAAACCCTGCATGTTATTCTTGGAAAAAATCCAAAAGACTAGTAGCAAGTATTCATATTTCAAACCGTTAACATTTTAAGTATTCAAAGTCTGCTCTGAAACTAGACTTCCCAGTATTATGGTGGCTGTAGAGAGAATGAAGTGACATTGAGGTGAGTTCTGAAATAAAAGTATTTTTCCTACTATGTTCACACTTTCTATTATAACTAAACCAAATATGTGTGAACTCTCCTGCTGTTTGAATTCTTTTTTTTTTTTTTTTTTTAACCCCCAAGGAGCAACACCTGTTCTACAACAGCATTGTATAAACAAATCAGACCTTTGGCTCTGAGGCCCAGTCTTTATGTGACCTCTAGACAAAGTCACAATTCTCCCCAAATCCCACTCTAGTTTTTATCCTTTTGCCCTTGGGTATTGCATCCATGGTATTTCAGGGGGATAGAAGAGTCGTGTGTGAATTTAGGAGCTCTTGTTAAGTGAGACTGTGTTAAGTGGTATATTTTGATGGCTACCTACTTTAGCATATTTTAGAAAGGCACCAAAATATAGCATGAGTACTTTTCTGATTAAAAATTAAAAACTCATTTAGGAACTATTTATCAGCTGTTTGTACTGGTCATACACAAGGTACAGTAACTGTGGACATAGGGAAATAAAAGAATTGGCCTAGTCCCTGCAGTGCAGGAACTAATTAAAAGGAAAAGGAATTGTAAATCCCTATTAACAATAATAACGGTAATGTATTGTGCTTAGAAGTTATTCAGCCAAGATTCTATCACCAAGAAAAAAGGCCTTTTAAAGCTGCTTAATATAAAACACGCTCTAAGTACAGAACCATTGGTACCATCTCTGATTTGATTAATTTCCTCTACTGTTATACAAAGTACAGTAATGCTGCTATACCTAGGATACCTACTTGTAAAGGCCAGATTCAGAGGCTCTTAGACACCAAGTGTTCTTGTGTACCTGACTGTCCATCACCACTCCGCTCTCCTATCACCAGGCAGCGAGGCTCTGATGAAAGCATGTCCCTTTGCACTACTTAGGGCCACGTCACTCCAATCAGGATTAACTGAGCATATGCAGATGCATGTTGATGGGCTCTCGTTTTACTGTCTTTACCTTGATAATAGCATTCCCTAGAAACAGCCTCCCCTCACACACACACACATACACTTTTAAACTAAAACTGTCTGTGACAGGGCTGTTGTGAGGAGTTTGTGCTCATATCCTAATAAACAGGACCCAGGAATGCTAATGAATTCATCGTTTCTGAAATAAGGTGAAGAGGAAGCTAGGCTGCTGAGAAAGAGGACGGAACTGTGACCGTTCTCATCATCAGTAGGTCTTCTTTTCTAGAAAATCTGAATTTTCAGGAAAAGATTATTTTCATGTATAAATTTTCTAATCTGAATTCCATTTTGTTTAGCATACAGTATCCTGATTCTGGGTAGATATTTGTATATCAGAATATAAATTGAAGAATGTAAAATGAACACCCAAACCTGATTCCCCCAGACCACTTCTTAATATATGAAATGCTTTCTGCAAACTGTCAGTATTGATGTCTTTCCTCTGTCGAGCCCAGGAATCTGTTAGTGTCTGTTTCTTAAATCTTGTTTAAGAGGCAGAATTGTTTTGAGCAAATCAGTTAACATTGTGATTTGGTCAAGGTAGGGAATTATGTGTATTTAGAAAGAAGCATGTTTTATTTTGAAAATAATAGGATTTTGTGCAATATTTTTTCTTGCATAATTTAGTTCATATAAATACATCTGCTTTTGTAGCAGATGCCTTAAGGTCATGTTTTTCAGTATTTGTGTAAAACTCTATGTAGCAACATTCCATGTGATTTTAGAGAAAAAAATATTCTTTATACTGTTGGCAGGAGAAATGTTTTTATTTAAAATAATTATGAATATTGCATTAATATATCATAACTAACTGCCTCAGCAACAATAAATATGCAACAAGAAAATTCTGAACCTTAGATTACTATTGACAATACTGTTACTTTAAAAGAAATGTGTATAGAGCAAAATGCTGATTCTTCATGTGTACGTTTAACAGATACTCAGTTCTGTACCACATAAATCTAGATGGCATTTCTATGGTGATGACAAAACATATGTCAACTGTAATATCCTTTGTGATGAATCTTTGGTAAGATTTATAAAGGGCATTGCCAATACTTTTTGACTGTGTAAATTAAGTTAATTTTTGTATAATGTACAGTTTGTTTAACCTTAGAGCTTCTATAGATTTCTACTTTTGTTATACTTGAATGAGGCAGAAGCACTGTGGAAAATCTGTAGCTCTGGATGTGATATGCAAACATACCAAAAAAATAAAACAAGGTACTGAAC